CTAATACCACGAAGGGCGTTGAATTATATCCGACAGGTGTCAGTGCAGGATTCTTCACTGAAGTTATTCCTGCATATGCTGTTGGCAATACAACTGCCGCAATTGATTTTCAATTATTGGAACACACTTGCAGACCGGTTTCGGGCTGTTTGGCCACTCGTCAGTGCAAGGTAGTGTATATCATCAACATAAAGTCGATGATTTCCGATAATTGAACGAATTGTTCCTTTAGATGATTTGATTTATAGCCAGTCTTCAAGTATGCACACTGACTATATATGAAAAGTTTTTTTTCCTTTTACGAGGAATTGGACAAATTTCGGATATGCGGTTGGTTACAGGCAGATGGGGCGATGACAAAACTGTTGTTTGTAGTCCGCTTCAGCCTAGTTTGAGGAATGATACTCTGAAGGTGTTACCAATGTCCAGATTTTCAAAAAGCAAATAGAGTATTTAAATTGTATTAGCGAATCGGATTCGAAAGACGGCAGCGGGCCAAGTAAGCGGAGCCTGCGCGCGCTCGCCGCAAACATATAAATACGGCGCGTCGCGATAAAAGTCAGTCGTTAGTTAGGGAAGCCACAGCTTATGCTGTAGACGACCCCTCCCGATATAGAAGGCCCCGACACTCTGTCGAATGAGGCCCTCATGTCCCCCGTTAAAGGATGAATAACTTTTTCATCCATCCCACCCCAGCCAGGTAGGGGTATCCCGTGAAGGGCGGCACTGATGTCTAAGGACTTCATGCCGTCATAAAATCAATCATGAACCCATTGGTTTCTCGAGACCAACAATCAGTCGAAAGGGTAGGGGAGCTAGACTCCAAACGTGAACGAATCGAAGATGACCTTCTGAGAGGAAAAGTCAGTGTTGGACACAGTGTTCGACAGAGCGTTTGACCGCTAACCGTTCTTTTAGCTGGCGATTTTTGAACTTAGAATTATTATTTCAGAGGAGATTTATTGAAATTCCGAATTATTATCTCAGAGGAAATTTGTTGGATAATATATGGTATCACTACAATATATTTGAAGCTGAAAAATTACAAGGACTGGACACTGGTTAAACTGGAGAATAAAAGTAGAGATATTGTACAAGGTGGTCTTCAGCTGCAGTTTCTAAGAGTTAAGATTTGGGAAGTTAACAATAATTAACTTTGATCGCTCTCTAACCCCAACTTTTCTAGATCGAATATTAGTTCCCGTGCTGCAAGCTACAGACGATCCTTCAGTAACAAATATGATATTGACATTAATATGTGAATCTTGGTTGGACCATATTTATGTGAATAAAATCAGATTCAGTGAAGACGGTGCACTTCAGTTACTTCATGATTTTGGATATGTTGTAGTATGGTTGGACAATTCTCATTATGTAACGGACCCGATGCGAAAAAAATTACTCAAAAATGAAGTATTGAAACGATGTGAAGGAGTAGGTAAACTATTGTTGAGGCGACCTGGAGAAAGAATAAAAATGATGAAAAACAAGTCTAGGAAGCTACCAGGTGAGTATAAAAAATTAGTTTACATCTTCACTTCATTTAGCGATGTAGAAATAGGTTTTGTATGTTCATATCATCAAGGGTATAGTCAAAAGTAACCGATATAGTAATTCTTAAATCCAGCGGCAAATTCAAAGGCGAATTCTAATGAAATCTTTGAAAAAAACATTATACGACTGTAACAAAAGCAATGAGATTCCTACAACTGAAATCATAAGAAAAAAATTGAATACTTGAGCAGCTGTGACAAAACTCTTCAGAATTGGATGAAGAAACTAGGATTTAGATTTGAAATAATGAACAAACGTCAAGCAGTTCTGGAAACCAGAAGAATAGTGGAATTGCGTAACAAATACTTAGAACAAATAACTAAATAGAGACAAGAATAACTGCAAATTTTCTATTTGGAAGAAACTTGGTATGACACTCACGACACAGTTACGAAAGAGTGGACTGATGGTTCGAGAATATGTACGCCTAACATGCCTGCAAACTAAGGATCGTGACTAATCATTGTGCATTGCGGAGGAAGTAAAGGATGTGTTCCGAATTCTCCGAAATTATGCGGGAAAAATTTTGAGGACTGCAATGTTGACTCAGAGGGAAAATTTGTATAGCGCCGTGCAAAGTTCTTGCCTCACACGACAGTCCGGAGACTCCCAGGCCGCTGGGTGCAAATCCTGTATACCCCGCTAATTCCCTCGCCTGCTAAATAACATTTTACTGTTCATTGTACTGTACATTTACTGTTCCAAATTTTTCTCTGTCCTCTTTTTCTTTAGTTTCTATGATGTCTCTTATGGTTTTATATGCTATTCGCCATCCTTTTTCTCCAGAGATGAGGGACGTCATAATGTTTGTTGCATCAAATATGGTCTCGGTATTTCAATGGTATTCTTATCGCTTTCCTTTCCATTTGATTCATCTCATCTCATTTCGTCAGAAAAGTTTCTCTAGCAAATTGTTTCGATATACCATGGAAAAACATTTCCGTTCTTTCTCTTACTAAGAGTTCTATCAGCGGAAACCCTACTATGACGGCATCACCATCTGTGGATATGGTTCGGTAAACACAACACACCTTAATTGATTAGAATTGGCCGATACTTGATGAAAATCCATATTAAAAAACTAATCAATTAGTTATTTACAACACACCTTGATTATTGTTGTTCTTTGGATTGTTGCAAGTTTTAGCTACAGCTTTTTGTTTTTAACAACGTTTTTCCACGCTGGTATATAAACTTTGCATAGAGCTTCCTCTTCGATGCTCTAGGGCCCCTCACGTTTGGTAAAAGGCAGGAGAGGCAGTCATTGTCTTTTCTGCTTTCTCAACAGTTTTATTGGCGTGTTCAAGGGGGTAACCCATAGCCGTTCCCTCCTGTTGTTCAGTTTCATACCACCAATATACGAGTAACTTTGGAAAGATTTTCAAGGAACTAGGTATGAAGGTGGTTTTTAAAACAGGTCATATACTACAGAGCCTTTTGGAGAAGTCCATAAGATAAAGTCGAAAATTCGGAAAAATCTGGAATTTACGAAATTGAACGTAAGGACTTGATGCAAAATATTATGGACAGACTAAAATATCTATGAAAATAAGATATGAGGAACATTAGACGCACGTGAAATATGGAATATTAATAACGATGGTGGACCAATACCTAATAGTATACTATAGAGCTTGTTGAAATAATATTCTAATTATCGGATTCACCTATCTATTACATGAGGCCACATCGTAAAATTAATTTAATTTTCTTTCAATTTTCCCCAAATCAACTCGATGGGATATAAAACACAAAAATAGGGGGGAAGTTTCAATATGGTGTATCCATACTTTTCAGCAATACTCTCAAGGGCGTACACTTTTTCAAATGTTTTTATCTGTAAAACTTCAACTAGTTGGTTTTTGGTATAGTTATCTTCAAAATACAAATTGCTATCCATTGAAAAACTTTGTATTTCATCTTTCCACGAATTTTTATTCGGTTCTTTGATGAACTGTCGCGAATGATAGGAAGCGTTGCCAAAAACTATTACACTATTCGCATCCAAAGGGACCAATGTGTTTTCAAACAATTCCTTAGAAATATTAGCTTCCATGTTCTTATGATAAACAACATTACAGTTTTTTTCCACATAATTTCAAAGAATTCGAAACCCATCTTTCACTTCCTCCGCAATGTACAATGATTAGTCGCGATCCTTTGTTTGCAGGCATGTTAGGCGTACATATTTTCGAACCACCAGTCCACCCTTTCGTAACTGTGTCGATAATGTCATACCAAGTTTCGTCCAAATAGAAAATTTGCCGTTGTTCTTGTCTATATTTAGTTATTTGTTCTAAGTATTTGTTACGCAAATCCACTATTCTTTTGCTTTCCATAACTGTTTGACGTTTGTTTATTATTTCAAATCTAAATCCTAGTTTCTTTATCCAATTCTGAAGAGTTTTGTCATAACAGCTCAAGTTATGGCCGGAAGATTTTATTAGATGAACATCTAAAGGTTTTGGTAACCCCGCATCACATCGCGTCTTGCATTCATAAGGTTTGTTTTTGACTATTTTACGTACAGTTGAGAAAGGAATTTCGATCCAATCTGATGTTGCTTGTAATAGTTTTTTTCCCTCGAAACCAAACTTAATATGTAGATTATTATATACAATTAAACATACTCTCTGTGTTTCAATATTCAAATGCATCCGAATCTCATTCACTGATGGTATTTCTTTTTCGCATTGTTCACCAACGCTATTGGAATCACTACACAGAAAAAAGTTTGCGTTGTTATCACACTCCTTATTACCATTAGTACTTGTCCAAGGACGCCACATTTTAAACAAATAACAAAATTTTAAGTTATTATAACTTCACCAATATCGAATTACAACACTCGAATCGCGATCAGTTCTGAACTGAACATTGACGACACAACGGCGATACTCATCGCTATATTTGATTGGTCGCCGTAACATGACTTCAAATTTGATTTTATGACTCTTCAGCCATTCATAAAACTCAGTTAGTAAAAATTATTGTATACGAACCGCCAGTTCTTCAGTCCACGTGGACTAATTCGAAGCGGCATTATTTCTTTGTATTGGTTTGTTTGGCCTTTGAGTTCGCCGATAGCTTTAAGAATTACTATATTAATTACTACGACTATAACTAGCAGAGATATCTATGGTATAAATAAGGAAACACGAATCAATGAAGTCGCCACGGAACGCCAATTAATTCTTATTGTTGTTTTTATTTTTATCGTCGTTTTATAATTTCACTAATAATGATGATGAAAAAGATTTTCACAAACTGAAAAAGGAGACATTGTATGTATATTCAGTTTAATCTTCCTCCTGAAGATGGTCACTTGGTGATCGAAACTCGTGTCGAGGTGTTGAAATAAAGGTTTGGTGTCGGGATAAAACTCCAGTAATATCATTACCAATCTTCATCATTTGACGCCTCTACGGAATGTAATTACTGAAAAAATTCATTGGTGTGACTTCTGTCAAACCAATATACTTAAGAATCAACAGTTTGAAAATGTGTAAAACTGATTTTTTGTGGGAACATTTTCTTTTCGATTCAAATGCTTTCGAGTACATGCAGCTGTATAATAAATATCGGTTTTTTTCAGATCCAGAATTGTCTTCCGAAAGTGAGAAAGATGAATTGATGCCAGCAGAAATGTATGTTCCAAATCAAGAACAGTGGCTGGAATTGAGAGCAATTAAGAAAAAAAGATTACTTTCATTACCTGTATGTTGTGGCGAACCATATGAATGAATTCATAAATGAAATGTCTTTCTAAGTACTTATTTATCTATCATTTCATTTTCGATTGGAGTTTTTACCCTTTTAGAAACAAAACAAAAATCAACTCTTGTTTCATTTGAATACTAAAATACTTTCCAAAGATACGCTGCCAGCTAGAAAGTTCTAATATAACCTGAAGTTAATGCGCAGTGCGGGGATTAATATTAAAAACAGCCTTAGCCTTCAAGGTCACCTTTATGATCACCACAACGCTAGATTTTTGACCTTTGACCTCGAATAAATTTTTTTCCAGGCATCGCAATCATTCGGAATTTTGAAATCTTATTTTTAACTATGTTTGACCAATTACACACGTTTACAGCTTGTAAATTTATGTACCTTCCAATTCTAGATTGACCGGATTACTATTACCTAAAAACAGTTCACGATTCACTATACAGCACACAAATGGAACGAAAAAAACCCTCACGCAAAACAAACGGCTCATCACCAAAAGACTTTTGAAGTCAATGTTTGGGCAGACATTGTGAATAAGAATTTAATAGGACCAGTTTTACTTCCAAATAATCTAAATGGCGCAAATAACTTACAGTTCTTCGATTTAACAGAATGTTTGGAAGAGGTAAAATTAGGAATGAGGCAAAATATGTGGTATTCACAACATTGAGCTCCAGCTCAGTTCGATAACGAATTTAGGGAATATCTTTTCGGTCTGTACCCTATACAGTGGATTGGAAGGGGCCCAGATGCACTTTTTCTCAGCCAGCCAGAAGTCCAGATCTTAGCCATATTATTTTTCGTTTTCCGTGTTTTATGAAAGAGAGTGTGTATTCTGTTGAAATAATTGGCGAACAACAACTGAGGCATCGAATCTTCGGAGGTGCAAATCGATTTCGTCAGAAGCCTATCATCTTCCAAAAAATTTGGTTTTTCTTTTTAAAACGGTGCCAAATGTGTAGTCAGGAAAATGGAGGCCATTTCGAACATTCGTACACATTTTTTGTACCTGCAAATAACATGAATACACAGTTCTCATCACATATAGTCAGTGGACATACTTGAAGACTGGCTATAAATCAAATTATCTAAGAACAATTCGTTCAGGCCAGTCTTAACACCCTACACTGTATGTTAATGGACTGACACCTACCAGAAAACAACTACTTCCCTGGCTAATACCACGAAGGGCGTTGAATTATATCCGACAGGTGTCAGTGCAGGATTCTTCACTGAAGTTATTCCTGCATATGCTGTTGGCAAT